TGCAGCCAGTCCTCCTGACTGACAGCCCCAATGCAGCCAGTCCTCCCGACGGACAGCCCCAATGCAGCCAGTCCTCCTGACAGACAGCCCCAATGCAGCCAGTCCTCCTGACAGACAGTCCCAATGCAGCCAGTCCTCCCGACAGACAGCCCCAATGCAGCCAGTCCTCCAGACATACAGCCCCAATGCAGCCAGTCCTCCAGACAGACAGTCCCAATGCAGCCAGTCCTCCTGACATACAGCCCCAATGCAGCCAGTCCTCCCGACAGACAGCCCCAATGCAGCCAGTCCTCCCGACAGACAGCCCCAATGCAGCCAGTCCTCCTGACTGACAGCCCCAATGCAGCCAGTCCTCCTGACTGACAGCCCCAATGCAGCCAGTCCTCCTGACAGACAGCTGAATGCAGCCAGTCTTCAGGCAGCCAATTCTACGATGAGACGGAACAAAAACGACGTGCTAATACTCATTGAGACCCAATGGATTGTGAACAAAGGAGGTCTACACCCTCAGCTCTAGAGCAGCTACCTGGTAACATAAGTTGCCTTCCATCTCCCGGCTCTTCTAGGCATGGCCCAACAACATGCACTTCATGTCTGAGTGTACTGCCACCCTCAAAACCAGTCAGGTGATCTGTCATACTAGATGTTTATAGACCTCCTCGTGTCCTGCACTACTGAAATAATTCTGTGAAAATAGTTACTATGGAGGTATAAATTAAATCCTGAATCAATCAATGGTGCTAAAGTACCAATGAGCACCAAAATCATCTCAGAGCTTGTTTACAAATGCAGGCCCCTGGAAGACTTTGCCATCTCCAAAAACCTTCACTTGTCACCAGCTGTGCACACAATTGATCCTAAAGTAGGTGCTCCTTGGGTCACACCTGCAAAAGCCCTGTGAGAGGCTGGCAGAGAAGCATTTGCAAAGCACAGTATAATGTACTTCCTACTTCCTCATACCCCAATCTGCATGTGTGAGGATATCCACCCACGCACACATTAAATTCACAAGGCTGCTTTTGGCTGCAAAGAAATTTCAATATTCTTTCATTTCTCCAAACATCAACTAAGGCCCAAAGCTGGATAAGACCAGGGAAGAGTCAAATTCTAAAGCCTTAAAAAAAATCACTAACACTGTAATGTTATAGCATCTGTTATATTAGAGTAAACCTGTCTGACCATTCTGGTCTAATTAGATTCTGCTTTGTGCAGGGCTTTTTCTGTGTCTGATGAAAACTGAGCTGTGAAGTAATTGAGGTGGGGATTTAGAGACTTGGTACAGCAAACTTCTCAATAAAAATGGCACAAACCGTTCGTGGGGAACCTGGTGCTAAGCCATTCGTAGACGACCTGCTTCTGGGTCCGGATTCCTACGTAGCAGAGAAGCTCCCTCGCTATCATCTATTAAAAGTCAACCCTCCACACAAGAGTTTGCAAAACAAGAAAGAAAAAAAAAAGAAAAATGGCACAGATGGGACTCTTCTTACTGTTGGTACATATTAAATCTTATTTGATCCATTTTACTGTATTCCAAATTACAAACATCAGGTAGTAGGTTGTAATTATAGTTTTACTGATTTTGTCATTAAGTTGTGTGTGTGTGTGTGGGGGGGGTGTTATTAAGTTTTAATCAAGCTGCTGCTACAGAAAAATGGTTAAGAGGGCACGGCTTTTCTGCTTCTAAGTTTCCCTCACACAGTTATAGTTACTACAGCAGAATAAAAGTGGACACACTCGTAAGATATTGTTTCTAAGAAATGTGTATCAGACAATCCTATATCCAAGTAAGTGGGCTACACATCAATGACTGAACATCTCTGTACATCCCTGACACGTGTTTGTTTTCTAATCCATTTATTTTACCTATGAAAATTTGTTTCTCCTAAATTCACCCATTTCTTTCTCTTGCTTTTAGCAACGCTTGTATGAATCTGAAATAAAAAGTTTATGCTCTGTGAAACTAAAATAAGTTATTGAAACAAGAAAGTAGTACACACATTCCTCAAGTATTTACTGATAAAAGTTTTTACTGAATGGCTTTGAGATGTTTTTAATGAAAGTTCAAAGACAGAGCCTCAGAACCAACATTTCCACAAACTTCCTACACTTGACAATGTTTTCAACATACTAAACCATAACTGAATTTAAAATCATTCAAAAGTCAACATCAAGAGATGTTTCACCTATGAAGTCAATCTACACACCCACTGCTGATAAAGTCTCCACTTACATTTCTCCAGGCATCACAAAAACTATCTAAAGGCATGTAACATCAGGCCTCACTACCAAAGGAACTACGGAAACTCTAAAAGACCTAATAAACATGTCCTAGAATTGTATATTTCCATTCTTAAAATACTTGTCTCCCAACTAAAGACTACTTACAGCACCTCCTTTGTCTAGCAGCTCACATTCAGAATATCACAAGAGCTTCTATACTTTTTTTTCTTCTTTATTAAGAGATAAGTGTCCTTATCTCCCCATTATCCCACCACCTCCCAACTCATGCCCTCACCCCCCTGGTGACTGTGTCCATTGGTTAGGCTTATATGCATGCAGTCCTTTGGTTGATCTCTGCCCGTTATCCCCACCCTCCCCTACCTTCCCTCTGAGGTTTGATGGTCTGATCATGCTTCTCTGTCTCTGGATCTGTTTCTGTTCATCAGTTTATGTTGTTCATTATATTCCATAAATGAGTGAGATCATGTGATATTTATCTTTCTCTGCATGGCTCATTTCACTCAGCATAATGCTCTCCAGTTCCATCCATGCTGTTATGAATGGTAAGAGTTCTTTCTTTTTTATAGCAGCATAGTATTCCATTGTGTGGATGTACCACAGTTTTCTAATCCACTCATCTACTGATGGTCATTTAGGCTGTTTCCAAATCTTAGCTATGGTGAAATGTGCCACTATGAACATAGAGGTACATTATGTCCTTTCTGATTGGTGTTTCTAGTTTCTTGGGATATATTCCTAGTAGTAGGATTACTGGTCAAATGGGAGTTCCATTTTTAGGTTTTTGAGGAAACGCCATACTGTTCTCCACAATGGCCACACCAGTCTGCATTCCCACCAGCAGTGCACGAGGGTTCCTTTTTCTCCGCATCCTCGCCAGCACTTGTCGTTGGTTGATTTGTTGATGATAGCCATTCTCACAGGTGTGAGATGGTATCATATTTTCCTTTTGATTTGCATCTCTCGGATGATTAGTGACTTTGAGCATGTTTTCATATGTCTCTTGGCCTTCATTATGTCCTTTTCCGAAAAGTATCTATTTAGATCCGGTGCCCATTTTTTGATTGGGTTGTTTAGCTTCCTTTTGTTAAGTTGTACGAATGAGCTTCCATATTTTAAAGATGTCAGTTACAGCCCAGGCCAGTGTGGATCAATGATTAAGAGTGTCAGCCCAGCCGGGACCGGTTTGGCTCAATGGATAGAGCGTCGGCTTGGGGACTGAAGGGTCCTGGGTTCGATTCTGGTCAAGGGCATGTACCTTGGTTGCGGGCATATCCCCAGTAGGGGGTGTGCAAGAGGCAGCTGATCGATGACTCTCTCTCATCGATGTTTCTAACTCTGTTTCTCTCTCCCTTCCTCTCTGTAAAAAATCAATAAAATATATTTAAAAAAAAAAAAAAAAAAAAAAGAGTGTCAGCCCATGCACCAACACTCCATCAAGGGCACAAACCTGGGGTGCAGTTTCAATCTTCATCCCCAGTCATTTGGGGCGAATGAGGGAGGCAACCATTCAATTATCTTTTTGTCACTGCTTTCCAATTTACTTCATTATAATCAGCAACCAAATGATTGCATGATATTGTCTCTACACTATTTGTTTTAAGTTGCTTGTGGACTACTGGGTTAGACATTTTAATTAATATTCCCAATATATGTCATAAAAACTAATAATCTTTGTTAGGTGCAGATCTCTATACATAGCTATTAGATAACTCTTGCTGTTGTGTTCATAGGTAGATTACACTTTTAATCATTTCTCCTTATAATTCTAGAAATCCTTGTTTTATATTTTGAGCCTGGGCTGTTTAGTACAGGTTCTGGTTCATTACACCTCTCAGGAGAAGTGTTCCTTATATCATTATACAATGTTCTCTTTGGTTTTTGCTTTCAGCCTTTTTTGTCTGGAATTAGCATTATTCTATCAGTGCTTCCAGTTAGCATCTCTGTACCAGGCAGGGGGGGTCGGAAGTAGAACCACTGTGACTGATCAGAATGGAGGTTACAGGAATGTGAACAGTAACTGTGACAGCTGGGTAAGCACTTTATGTACAACTTTAACTCCTGTGTCTAGTGTTGGGACAGAAGTCACAGGGCAGGGGATCAGGAAGGAAAGAGGGATGTAATATGGGGAAATCCAGGACAAATGCACGTTGTCTCTGAGTTGGTGAGGGTGACCTGCAGAACAGGCTGCCACCCTCACCACAGCGCCCTCCCCTCTGGACTCAGATTGCAGAGAAGCTGAAGGGAGCTGCAGCAGCTGCCCGAGGCCCCAGGTCAGAGAGGCGGTGTATGAAGTACTAGCACGCCTGACCCTACACCAACCTTCCAGGCATAAACACACCTGCGCCACTTCCACCTTACGTAAACCTCTTGTACAAATGCTTCCTGTGGTCAGCCTCGCCTGGACCCGCCTGGAAAGGGAGTTCTGCGAAAAAGTTTCAGCCCAGTTCTATGTGGACATAGTACAAAGCCACCACAATTTGCATGGATATTTTCTTCCCTCTTAATTTTATTCTTTCTTTTTCAGGTCAGTCTCCTGCATATAGCACACAGTTGGATTTTTCTTTTGTCCTATCTAGAATCTATCTTTTAATTATCATGTTTAACCCATTTACATTTATTAAAATTTATAACTTTCATACTTAAAAATACTGTTTTTATTTCATTAAAAAAATAAAGTAATTATCTGTATGGAGACTGTGCATATATGAAGATACATGCATAATTATATTTCTGAAATAGTTTATATTCATGCTACTTACCACTTCTCCAGCAGAGGCAGCCAACATGTGCTTTACAGGCATCAAATGTGAGGACGAATCCGTGTGCAAAAGCCATTTCACATAATCATAGGTGATAAAAAAGGCAGCAGCTGGAATTTAAACAAGCCAGTCTTTCACAACGTTAAGAAATACATTTGTTTAAAAAAAATTACAACTTTAGTTAACAAATTGACATAACAAGATAAAGATAATAAACATATACTCTTTCCCTACTCCCCTCGCTTTTGCAGAAGTTTCCAAACCCATATATCATGCCCGACTCTGGACTTAGGAAAATGCAGAAGACATGACACCTGCCCAAAGGGGCCTACTAGATAACCTAGTATTTACCGTTTTGTACTAACAAATTACTTGACGTTTTTGTAAGCTTTCCAGAAAGGGATATAAATATCCCTATAAAACATAAAATAATCAATATAGACAGGTTAAAATTACAAACGTAAACCTTAATAAAACACCTATTGATATTTTATTGCTGTTTATTCACAATAACCATGGGTACTTTTTACTGCATCAACCCACTTTACATCAAGGAGGCAATTAAAACTGGAAATGAACATCTCCAGCAGCTACTCCTATCGCCATGCACTGATCTCCGCTGCACAGAGGGCTTTAGGGCCTGCCATGTAATGAACCAGAAATGTTAATCACTTCCACAAAAGATAGGCATAGATAAATGAAAGACAAATTCGCCTTTTGAAAGGCATCTGAACATATTATGTTAAAGTCTGAAACACGCAGGAAAGATAGTGAAGCTTTACTGTTAACACTCCTTGGGCTGCAAACAAATGCACATCCATGGAAGCACCTGTCCCCAGGAGAGCAAAGACCCACGTAAGCAGTTTGATAAAGTCACCGCAGGTCCCTGTTTCCATCTGTGCTTCCTACCGAGGCCTGTGCACTCACTCCTTTAGCCACTCCTTAAAGTACAACTGGAGCAGCTCCGACTGCATTCAGCTAAGCTCCACCTGCTACACAATCCGCCCTCCCACCCCCGCTGGAGAAGGGAGAAAGACTGCTAAAAGTTCTGGGTTTTCATGGTTAACCACCTCAACCTGGTCAGACCATATTGCTACTTTCATGACAGACAATGTCCTTTAGAAATGTAAGCCCTGAGTCCCCTGGGTGACACCCATGAAAGCCCTTGCTAATTGGAAATGATGGCAAAATAAGGTGCCAAAGGAGGCTCTAGGCAAGTTACAACAAAGAAGATGGGTGGGCTATGGGATAGCTATAGGCTCTTGTAGCTCTTAAAAAACAAAAACAAACAAACAAACAAAAACACTGCTATGGCTTTTCTACATACCCTTCTAAAGGGAGTAGGGATCCATAATCAGGTTTTTTTGTCTCCTCTTTCGACCTTCAGTCCCCTCCACCACCACCAACTCACCCCTGCAGAATACATTCTCAAAAAAAGGCTACAGCCACTTGTGGGGGCCCTGACCAGAGTCCACTGGAGGTTCAAGGCCTACTCACCATACGCATGCGAGCAGCCAAGGACACAGCAGTATTACTATGTTAAAGGCCCCTTTGCCCAACACAAGCACCAGGGCAGTGACTCAGCAGTAGCAATGTACTACTGCGCAAGCGTCCCCTTATAGGGCCTGCTCATGTTAATGTAGCACCAGCTTCACTAGCTGGCAGGAGCCTCTTTTGTTGAGGGTGCATACAAGCTGCCAGATGAGCCAGTTTTTGGCTACTTTGTTCGTAATTACGCATGTCCCACTTACCTACTGCCCCCATGTATAGAGAGAGGGGGCAAGTCCCTGCTGAGGAACTTGCCCCCAACACCACTGAACGTTACTCAGACTAGGACTTGAACCAAAAGCCACAGGGAAAGATGATAATTGTGCCACACAGAAAATTTCAATTCACCAACAATTTACAGAAAACCAAAAAGACCATTTCTAAAACTGACACTATTTAGCCACATCTCCAATCCAGTGATGTTCTGTGGATGGCTAAAGATAAAAAAAATAAAGGGGCCTGGCAAGAGCACCACTTTATTACACACACACAAAAATGTGAAACCACATTCTGTGTGTAAACTTCTGCTGGCAATGATGGAGCACAATGTGCCCTGCAGACTGTGGTCCATACCACCCCTCCCAACAGGAATTCCCAGGTGCAATCTATAATACAAGGAAAAGACATCTTTAGGACAATGATGGCGATGCCATAAAAATGAAAACAGCCCTGGCCAGGTGGCTCAGCTGGTTGGAGTACCATCCCATGCACTAAAAGGTTTCAGGTTTGATTCCCAGCCTAGATTCAGATTAGATCCTCACTCAGGGCGCATCCAGGAGGCAGCCCATCAATGTTTTTCTCTCTCTCCCTCTGCCTTCCTCTCTCTAAACATATCCTCCGGTGAGGATTAAAAAAGAAACTGATGAAGATAATGACCTAGTAATAGGTACCTAGTAACATATGCCTTTCAGTTTCATTGTTCAAAGATCCCAAAATTTGTCTGCTGATAAAACCACCTGGAGATTTTTTTTTTTTTTTTAAACTTACAACTCCCAGCTCACAGCCCATCAATTAAATCACGATCACTGGAAGCGGGACACAGGCAAGAAAACGTCACAAAATCTACTCAGCCAACCACGGGGCTGCCATGTAGTCAAATTTAGGAACCTGCCCCCCCACACACACACACACACACACAGCTATCTTGGCATCAAGTGGGTGCTCAACAATGACATGCTATAACCAATAACTGAAAGCACTGAGACAAATACAAACTCAAGGATAATCCCTAAACAGTTTGCGGTTCTCAGGACAGATGGAGCAGGGGAAGAAGGAAAATCTCTATGTGGATGCTGTGCTCACGTGTGGACACAGGTGGACAGTTAAATGTCAAGTGAACATGAAAGAATTTCTCATAAATTATCTTGAGAAAACAGAAATTGAGCCCAGGGTTTAAGAATCTCCTACAGCAAAGGCTCTATAACTGTGTGTGTGGTGGTGGCGGGTATTTTTTTGTTTGCTTGGTTGCTTCCCAATGCCACACAAAACATCAGCAAACAATTAAAATGAGGTAAACATCTGAAAAAAGTATATCAAAAAGTGGATTAAATAGGACAGATGATACTGATTCTAGAATAAGAAGCCATACATCATATACTGTGACTTTAAACCCAAAACTAAAGCAAGACACTGGAAGAGAGTATCGAGGAGGCTGGTAGAATTGGTTGCATCAGCTAAGACAATTTTGTGAAGACAAAAAAGGCGTAATGCCTCTTAGATTCATCTGCTTCAAAGACTCTCCGAGGCAGTGGCTATTAAACTCACCTTCCGCTTTGGAATCACCTGGGAAGCTACTAAAACCTTGCAAAGCCCAGACCAATTAAACTTCTGGGTGTGACACAGGCATCAGTAATTCTTAAAACTCCTCAGGAGAGTTCAATGAGCAGGCGAGGTTGAGAACCTGCTCTAGGCATCACAATCAATGTCAGAACACTTTAAGGATTCTAACTGGAAATGTTAACAACAAAAGCCATTTTTAAAAGATTGCTCATATTTTTTCTATTACAAATACAGCTGATTAAAATAATTGGTTAATGAATGGAAAACAAATTCAGAAGATAAGCCACAACAGGTAAGAAATTCTATCGATATATGTAGTACCACCACGCACCATACTGAAAATAATCCTATTATCTTGGCTTTATGGCAATGTTTACCATTAGGAAAGGATCCAATAGCAGTAGAAGGAACGCCAGCATATATTCCACGAAAACCACCAGCCTTATTGAAGCCTTGGGGACTCTGCAGCCGCGTTTTAATGGTATCCAGAGGAAATAATATCAAATCAACAGAGACACCTGCTACCCCACCAGCCTTTAAAAAAAAAAGAGGGTGGGGAAGAAAAGGGAAAATAGGTTACAATAAAATAAGCTCTCTGCCGTTGGGGGGCAAGGATAAGAAGGTAATCTTTAAGCATATTTCTCCTAATTGTCAGTTCATGGACTACTTGGAACAGTCAAAAGACCTGCTCCCTAAATCTAGAGATTTTCTAGGGGAAACCACCGTTATTATACTATATTTTCAAATTGTAAGTTTTTGAATAAATTTTTCTTTTTAAAGTGAATTTTACAATTTATTGCTAAATAAATTTGGCATTGTCAAAAGACCTGCTACCTAAATCTACAAATTTTCCGGGGAAAACAACCATTATTGTGCTCTATTTCTAATACTTTCACATGGTTCAAAGTCTCCTTCCTTGTTCCTGCTTTAGTTGTTTTCTTATTGCATCCTTCCAAAGTTACTTTAGACATATACAAGCAAATATAAATATGTATTTTATTTTCATTTTTAAAAAATAAAAGGTGCATACAATATACACTCTGCTGAACCTTATTTTTTTCACTTATCTTGGTGATATTTCCATATCAGATCAAATGTTATATTTTTGTCTTCTTAACTAATGAGTGGTGAATCTGCAGTAAGACTTTTTTTTTGCGACTTCTATTTTTAAACAGGTTATGAGTCTTATGAATCTAGATCCCTATTTTAAGAAGAGTGTATCTAAGGATTGCTATTTTGTGTATATTTGAAAATTCCTTGGTAAATGTTTTAATTAAGTGGGTCAATAGGGGAAACAGAACGAAATCCCTAAAGGACATTAAACCCTGGTCCAGACTATCATCACCTCCTGAGAGGCACCATGTTGCTCAGGGTGGAAAGCTGCTCTTCAATAAGTTTAACCCTCATGAGGACTTGGAGCATATGGAGAGTATTTTAAAACTGGTCACACCTCAGTCAAATAAAAAAAAAATACTAAAAAATATAAACTCAAACACAGCATCAAAGAAAGGTCAACACACACGGTCTGAAAGCAAAACATGAGATGTGCATGGAAACCAGCTTATGCAGATGGAAGAAGGATGGAGAGGAAACTCACTGTGCTCCCACATAGGAATTCTTACACGAATTGTCAACTTTTGCTATCTTGTGAAGTGAACCACATGACTATATTACCTATTCAAAGGGCTAAAATATCCACTAAAAACCTATATATTCCAAAACGTAGACTAAAAAGAATTTGTATTATTCAAACATACAGGCAAAGTTCGAAATGATCAGCTGTTCCCTCCTTTTGGGTTACAAAATGCTTGCACCCAGCAAACACTCTGCTCTACTTACCACTCACAACAAAACCACTGCAAGAGATCATTGGAAAAAAGAAATTGCTCTGATGAGAACTCCAATCATTAACTAGCACAGGTAAATATTCAAAATTAGTTTATACTAGAAACATTAATATTATCCTATATGATGGGCCTGAGACACAACAGAACCTCAAAAACCATGACAGTATCTCTGTGAAGGACCTAAAAAGATGTCACCAAAGAGCAGAGATGTGCTAGTAGAGAATCACATGTGGCAGTAAAAGAATGACAAAGGACATGGGATTTCTCTCTGGATAAAAGGTAGCCTTTTCTAAGTCATGGGAAAAAGCTCATAAGTACCAGAGAAAAGATTTTTTAAAAAGTCAACCTTCTTATTTTTTAAACATTTTACAAAATTCAGTATGTAAATAAAATACATTGCCTGCCTCTTTATTTTTTCAAAGCTCAAGAACTAATCCTGCTGAGAATATTTGATATGACTGGATTCCTTAAGAATATTCTGCACTTTATTATAATTTTCTCTTTAATCTTAGGAGAAGGTTCAGAAAGTGCTTGATATCTACACCTCTATCCTAATCAATAAGTTAATTACACTCTTGCTCTCTTAGGCTACTTTGCATGCATTGAATCTCCGATCCTCCTTCATCAGAATTCTTATCTGCTGAGAATAAAATGACCAGATTCAATCTACTTATTAGTGAAACATAAATCAAAAGTTACTAACTGCTTCCACAAATTTTAAACTTCTGAGACTCAAATGTCATTAAAATTTATGCGACTGAAAAACAACAGCAATGCAAACAAACAGGTAATAGAGAGCAGGAAGAATATCTATGTATTTATCCACACTGCAACATCTTTAAGATTTAAACAAAAACTTTAGTAGTGCTTATAATTTTACATCAGTGTTGTTTTGTTCATAACTATATACAAAATACACATGCCAACATCAGTTAAATTACAAGAAACTCTACCAAATTATTTTATTTTTTATCCTAAGAATTGTGTTTTTTTATTTACTTATTTTTTCTGTGTGTTTTATTTATGATCATTTATCATAAAGGTTCTCAGGCAAATGATTTAGTTTCAAGATTTATTGGTAGTTTAATTGAAAATGGTAACTTAAGAACTAAACAAAAATCCAAAGATACAGAACAAAACTCAGGCAACCATAAAGCTTTAGTACAGTACAACAATTCATTGTGACCTTAATGTCATGTAGATAAAATACACAACTCTACCTCAAGTTAAAAAACATAAAAAGTGCTGTAGAGAGGAAGTGTCTAATTAGCGCTTTGAAATTACTCTGAGAGTTGATAAAAGTCAAGATTAACGTGCTATAAAACCTTTATTTCTCAAAAGGAGACTGCGCAACAACCGAAAAGAAAAATCAGTGCCAAAACCAAATCAGGATAAAACCAAACCACTTGTCTAATTTAACTAAGCAAACCAGCCTAGGCCACTGGCCTAAACCTTGGCTAAGAGCCACCCCTACTCCTACTCCTCCTTACCTCTTCTCACCCCCAAATATTAACGTGGCTTCTCTGGGGAACATCTCTCCTTGACCTTCTGGGGTTTTCTTCCACAAGGACTTTAAGCTTGTTAGTTCACTGCTGCTGCTTCCTGGTATTTGTCTCCTCCCCATTCCCCATTCACTGCCCTGCAGTGCTCCTGCCACTTCTATACTGATGGCAGTCACTTGTGTAAAATGCAAACTTCAATTCCATCTGGCCACTGCCCAGCCTGTAAGTCCTCCAAATCTTCACCAGCCTCAGGACAAAGAGCAAAATCCTCTAAGGCTCTGGAAGTTCTGCTTCTCCACCCTAACTCCATCTTGAGTTCTGTTCCCCAAGTCACCTGATGTTCCTCATTGCTTGGACTTTGCACAATTGTTCTCTATCTTCAAGTCTAGGATTAGACGCCCTTGTTTCCAAATACCGATCACAATTTTAATTCTATAACTGAGCATCCCACTATTGTCTGTATGTCCCACTAGACTGTAAGATCCATACCTGTGATGTTCATTAATATTTCCAGTACCAGTACACAGCAGGCACTCAATTATTTGAAGAATATATGAATTAATGATTATAAGAAAGGGTTCCTAGCGGTACAACAAGTCAACCTTAAAAAAGTACAGATTTTTTTTAAATTTTGCAAAACTCAGGATCAAGCAATTTCCAAAAGAAAAATATAAATGGCCAACAAACTTATGAAAAGGTGCTTCCCCAATAAAAACAAAATAAAATATTTCCCAATTAAACTAGAAAAGATTAAAAATATAAAGTTATGGGCATTGTAATGGGAAACAAATTATGAATGCCTACTGAAGGGCAATTTGGTAAAATGGCAATTTTAAATTGAAAACCCTTAAACCAGCTATTTTATTTCTACATATTTCTCTCACTCACAGAAATGCATAAATATACAAGAATATTTATTGCAGCATCATAGATAAAAAGCAAAAAATAACCTAAACCCAGGAATCTTATTGGATCAATTCAAGTATTTGAGTACTGTACTGCCACATAGCCTTGAAGAGAATGAGTCAGTTGAATTCAGTGGCACAGAAACATGCTAGATTACTAAATTAATCAGCTTAGTTGTGCAACAATATACGCTACCTCATCCTGCCTTTCCAGGAAGTGTGTAACTCTTCGTGTATGTGGAGTTAGAAGTCCAGAAGCAGACACACTAAGTCACTAAATTACTAAAAGCTACTACCTCTGTGGGAAGATACTCAGGATGAAGAGAATTTTTACTCTCTTGTAAATGTTTGTATTGATCAAATGCGGTTATGAGTATTGCAGACATATAAAAGTAAAGCTATTCAAAATCCCTTAAAATAAACCCTAATTCCTGGTTGCATTTGGTATGGAATAGCACTCAGTAAGGGGAACTAGGAACCTCGATTACAGGCCCGCTGAAAACCACCTGATGGGCTTCATTTCACTCCAATGCACCTGAGCCTCTCATGACGTCTGAAACTTCTCATCTCGGTGTTCCTGCTTAGCTCTCTCTCTCAACCTGGAACGCCCTTCCTATGGCCACCAGCAGACCTCCTGTTCCCCTACTGCCCTCCCCCCTACCCCCCCTCACACACACACACACACACACACACACACACACACACACTCACACACACACACACACACACACACTCTCTCTCTCTCACACACACACACACACACACACTCACACACACTCTCTCTCACACACACACACACACACACACACACACACACACACTCTCTCTCTCACACACACACACACACACACACACACACTCACACACCCCTGCCAAAGCATAAGAAAGACATTTGAATTATGTGATATGACTAGACAATAAGTACTGCTCAAATTATTTTTGATACATTTTTTACAAAGAAACAAAATCTTTTTTAAAAAAACTTTATTGTTGAGAATATTACATGTTTTAAATTACAGCATCCCAAATAGTTTTACTATTTTTTCATTTCTCAATTACAGTTGACAAGAGTTTTTAATTTTTAACGCTGACAAGAAGTGTTAAAAGTCATTAAATTAACATAAATTTTCTCATCATTAAGACCATTTGGCATGACTTCCACTTGCACTTTCATCTTCACAGCATTACTCCACCATTGCCAACGTCCTTTCACCTGCAACCTAGGACTGATTAAAAGTAAAAGTAGCTGTGACTGGAATGCTTTTGGTTTCATGGTAGAACAAGCCAGGTGAGTAAATGAATTACAAAGTCAATGAAATAGTGAGGTACTGAAGAGGAGAGAAAGAAGAGGCAGAAAGGAAAAAATAAACAAGTGGGACTCCATCAAACTAAAAGCTTCTGCCTAGCAAAAGAAACCATCCTCAAAATGAAAAGGGAACTCTGTATTGGAGAACATATTTGCCAATAAGGTCTTAATTTCAAAAATATATTAAGTACTCACACAACTCAACAAAAGAAAGACAATCCATTTTTTTTTTTTTTAAGGGCAAAAGACTTGAATAGACATTTCTCTGAAGAGGACATACAAATGGCCAAAAGATATATGGAAAAAATGCTCGTCACTAATCATCAGAGAGATGCAAATTAAAACAATGAGCTACCACCTCACACCTGCCAGAATGGCTACCACCAATAAGTCAACAAGTGCTGGCGAGGATGTGGAGAAAAAGAAACCCTCCTGCACAGCTGATGGGAATGCAGACTGGAGTAGCTACTGTGGGAAACAGTGTGGAGTTTCCTCAAAAAATTAAAAATGGAACTGCCATTTGACCCAGTTACCCCACTTCTGGGACTATATCCTAGGAATCCTGAAACACCAATCACAAAGAATATATGCACCCCTATGTTTATAGCAGCACAATTTACAATAGCTAAGATCTGGAAACAGCCCCCTGTTCATCAGTACATAAGTGGATAAAAAGCTGTGGTACATTTACACAGTGGAATACTATGCAGCAGTAAAACACACACACACACACACACACACACACAAAACAAAAAAAACAAACAAACAAAAAAACACAAGGATCTCTTACCCTTTGAGACAGCATAGAGGGACCTGGAGATGATTACGCTTACACTAGGCGGGAAAAGCCAGTCAGAGAAAGACAAGTATCACATTATCCCACTTATACGTGGAATCAAATGAACACAAGTTTATGAATAAAATAGAGCCAGAAGCATCAAAACATGAAACATACTGATGAATCTCAGATGAAATTAACCAAAGAAAGTATATGCATATTTATGTATTGCTCATGAACACAGACAATAGCATGGAGAAGGCTTGGGGCAGGGCAGGAACCGGATGGTCAGGGGCAAAGGAGGGGAAAAAGGGAGAACATCTGTAATACTCTCAACAATAAATATTTTTTTTTAAATGAATGAAAAAATATAAATATAAAAATAAAGTAGGTTAGCCAATATTTTTCCATCTCTATCCCACCTGTTTATTTCTGAGTACTTATCTTCTGTTTTGTTTTGTTTTATTATATTTTATTCATTTTTTTACAGAGAAAAAGGGAGGATAGAGAGTTAGAAACATCGATGAGAGAGAAACAGCAATCAACTGCATCCTTCACACTCGCTACTGTGGATGTGCCCACAACCAAGGATCCCAGGTTTGATCCTTGAGTCCGCAGGCCGACACTGAGCCAAACCAGTCAGGACAGTACTTATTTTTTGGGTTTGGTCTGTTTGCCATTGTATCTCTAAGGATAAACACAGTGCCCAGAATACATGGCAGATAAATTGTGTGCTGAATGAATAAAATGATCTGTCTTTAGTTGGAATAAAATCTAACCTCCTTGAAACTTGTACTCCTTGACCCAAATTTCAACCTCTGTAACTACATTAAAAAATAAAAGTATACCTTCCAACATGTGTACTACACTTAAATCATAGTTCTGTTAACTTGGACACTGTTTTTAGCAGCTGCTTCTGACTTCAGAGAGAGTATCAAGGAGCAGCAAAGGGCGTGGAATCCCAGGTCACATTGCTAGGGTTGGCATCTGTTCTCCAACACTTGCCTACAGGAAAGTGATTTCCTTTGTGTGACTGTGGACAAGTCCTAACCACTCTGTACCTCAGTTTTGCCATTTGGAAAACTCGAATAAGACTTCAACTACGACAGAATTCATTGAGTCCACGTATGTAAAAGGCTCACCCCAGTTCCTAGAGCGACGCTATCTGTCAAAACTACTACTGCTGCCCTGGCAGGTGTGGCTTAGTCGGCTGGAGCGGCGGGCGGCCTGTACATCCAAAGGTCGTGGTTCGATTCCCAGTCACTGCACAAACCTAGACTGCAGGTTCAATCCCCATATGGGAAGCAACCAACTAATGTTTCTCTCTCCCTGTCCCTTCCTCTCTCTCCAGAATGAATGAAAAACATATCCTCACGTGAGGATTTAAAAAAAGAAAAAAAGAAAGAAAAAAAAAAAAAAAAGCACCACCACTTATAGATATATCACTGGCTAGACAGGAAAACTCCTTAAAAGTGGTAACATAAGCCTTCGTCTGCATCTCTAAAACCTGGCTCACACAGTCTCACTGAAACCGGTTTGGCTCAGTGGATAGAGCGTCAGCCTGCGGCAGCTGATAGATGTTTCTAACTCTCTCTCTCTCCCTTCCTCTCTGTAAAAGAATCAATAAAATATTTTAAATAAATAAATAAGTAAACAAAACCTAGCTCACCCAGTCTCAACAGGTCTAGATGGAGAACAATCATCTGGCCTAGGCGGCCCTCCCTTCACCCTATCGGGTAACAGTGCAACCTGCCCGGGCCATTTTCACCACAGCCCTTCCCCCATCTGCCTCCAGCCCTGGACCACGCGGGGGTTACCTGCTCACCTGGTTATCTCCAACACCTGCAGCAACAGACGTTCCCTCACTCAAGGACACTCTGCTGGGCCTCCTTTTTTAAAGTTGTTTTCCCCCCTTCTCACAGCAAGCCTACCTCTGTCTGGTGCACTGCCATATCTAGAATCCCCTACTGGACCTGCCCTGAGAGGCCTCAAAACATTTATTAAAGGGACTGTTCCTTTTTTATGTTAGTAAGAGTTGATTCTAGTTGTTTTCTAAGGCATGAAGCACTACTGTCTTACGGAAGCAGAATAACCAGGTCCATTACAGAATGAATGAATGAATGAATGAATGGGAGTGCCATTTCTCCGAGGCTGAGAACAAATACAGAAAATGCCCACATGGCCTTGGACAGAGGGCTCTGAGCGCCCTGGGTAGGCTGTTTGGTTCTGTTACCATATTCCTATGTGTGATGCCAAGTTCTCCGGTGGAGTTACACTAATGGAGGCTTTTAAGAAGGGAAACGGTCTCCGTGCGGAACACGAGGAGTCAGGCAGCGCCTCCCCCGTCTCCTCCCGGCAGCGGGTACGGAGGACTTGGTCCGACAGAGACGGCGGCGGCCCGCGCCCCGCGCCCGCTCCCAGGCTCGGCGACAGAGGGCAGTTCACGCCAAACCGGAAAAACTCACAGTGCGGGGGGGCCCCCGACCGGCGCCCCGCCGGCCTCCGGCCTCCGAGCACCCCTCCGCCGCCCGCACTCACCACCAGCGAGGCCGTGAACCCGGGCCGGTCCATGGCCCGAAGGCACCGCCCGTGCTAGAACCCGCTGTCCAGCCGGAGCGTGTCGCGGCTCCTGTCACTGGGCGCCGCCATCTTGAAGGCGGGGCCTGAGGGGGCGGTACTTCCGCAGTCACGTGAGGGCGAATCACAACAAATACACGTGCAACCGCGTCCGCTGGGCGGGACGCTCGGGGGGGCGGGGCCTGGGAGTGTGATTGATGGAGTCGGAAATCCCACTCTCCTCCGCCTCCTTCCCCCGCAGCGGCCTGTGATTCCGCGAGAAGACGGAGAAACTCTCGCGAGAAAAGAAGCCTGGGCTGGGTTCCAGGAGAGAGAACACCTCCAAGGGCAGCGTGGAGCGAAGTGCCGGGCGGATGCTGGAGTGGAGGGAGGGAGCATAGGAGGGCAGAACTGGTTTCAGGGGGCGAGGATTCGCTTTCTAATCGGTTATTTTTGTCTTATATCTTCCGAATTACTACAAAACACACTCAACATCAGAAGATTATGATATAGAAAAACGCTTAAAAATAGCATCCTCCACTTGTTACTGGCAGTTATTACACTTATTAATTTACTTATTCAATTATTTGCTTGCTCATCTTGTCCACTGTGCCACCTTGAAGACACTCTGAGACGGGCTGAGCACTCCTGAGGTTACTTAGTGGCTTACTACTGGGTTAGCAGTACCTGACACTTTGTAGACACTCAACATAACTTCTGAGTGAATGAATGAATGAATGAATGGTACAGAGTCTGGCGTGTAGTAGACATTTAAGTGTTGCCTTCCTAGAGCTCCGTTAGGGGCTTTGAAGGGCTGTAGAGTTGAATAAGGGGAGAGCCTCTGGGATGTTAGTTTTCCTTTGTATAATAGCATAGAGCAGAGCTATTCAGGAAAAAAAAAAACCTCAGTGAGTTCATTGACCAGGTGCATGCTTTAGGAAAGTAGTTTGGATCTAAGTATTAGCAACCTGACAATGTCTGTAACATTTAACTCCGCAAAGATAACAGGAAGCCACTTACACATTAAACAGAAGAAGAATGATTAGGTAAACTTTGTTAGATGCTCTTCATGGACTAAATAGTGCTTGTGAAGAACATGTATTATAATAACATGATAATGCTTATGAGATTAAAATAAGAAAAAATATAGCACAGTACATATGCACATCTGTTTATTCCTAATTAAAACTACTATTAAAAATAGTATTCCTAATTAGAAATACTATTCCATTCATTTTCTCAAAAGCTGCATTATTCTCCAAAACAATACAAAATAATTTTTCTTTTTTTAATATATTTTATTGATTTTGTACAGAGAGGAAGGGAGAGAGATAGTTAGAAACATTGATGAGAGAGAGTCATCGATCAGCTGCCTCTTGCACACCCCCTACTGGGGATATGCCCGCAACCAAGGTACATGCCCTTGACCAGAATGGAACCAGGGACCTTTCAGTCCCCAAGCCGACGCTCTATCCATTGAGCCAAACCGGTTTCGCCACAAAATAATTTTGATAGTAGCATTATAGGCATACCTCAGATATATGAGGGGTCTGATTCCAGACCACTGTAATAAAGTGAATGTTGCAATCAAGTGAGTCTTAATCTGTTTTTGCAGGTGGGGGATCTTGCCTTCCATTTGTTTTAAAAACAAACAAACAAACAAACAAACAAACAAACCAACACCTGAGCTCAATAAAGCATAGCACAACAAAACAAGGTATGTCTGTACTTTTTCTATTTTTTATAATATAAAAAAGTATTTTAGATTTTTAAAAATAGCACACCCTTTATCACATTCTTCAAGTCAAGGTATGATAAAGACTTCTCACTGTTATGAGACCTGACTGCCTCTTCATACCTCATTCATTTTCCTAACATTGCCCACAGTTTTCTTCAAAATCCCAGTTAGGTGTCCTCTATTTGCTGCTAGAACTCTAACAACAGACACTATAATTCAATATTAGTACATATATACCTATTAGTTAGGACCTGGCATGACTTGACAGCTTAAAACAACAAACATTTACCATCTCAGGGTTCCTGTGGTCTGAAATCTGGAGGTGGCCTTGCGAGGCAAGGCTGGCTCTCCTGCACGTGCAGTCATGCTGTGAAGGCCAGGCTGCAATTCCATCTGATGGCACAAATGGGAAAAGACCCATTTCCAAGACCTCTCACATAGTTGTTGGCAGGTGTCAGTCCTAGAGGATGTTGACTGAGTGGCTCAGTGTTTCCTTGTCTGGTGACCAGGGTCCTCCTTTAGTTCTTTGCCAGATGGGCTTTTCCATACAGGAGCTTGCAACATGGCTCCCAGCCTCACCTGAGTAAGCAAACAAGAAAAAGTGGGAGAGAACACCCAAGATGAAAGCCACAGGATTTTGCAACCTAATCTCTAAGGTGACATCCCTTCACTTCTGCCAGCCACACTCAAGAGCAGGGATGACACCGGGCATGAATACATGGCAGCAGGATACAATAGGGGCAATATTTGAGGCAACATATAATTTTTTCATATAAATTCTTTAGTGTTGAAAGTATTACATATGTCTCCTTTTCCCCCCATTGATCTCTCCCCAGCCATTTCCAGCCCCCAGCATATGTCCCTCCACTGCTCCTGGCTGTGTCCATTGGTTGTGCTTATATGCAGGCATACACATCCTTTAGGTGAGCTCTTATACTCCCCTCCCACCTAAGGCAACATATAATTTACCATGTACCCCAAAACACTGCTTGATGACTGGGCACATTAAAAAGGATCTTGCCATTTTCTTATTTATTTATTTATTTATTTATTTATTCATTTATTTATTTTTGTTAATCCTCATCCCAGGATATGTTTCCATTGATTTTCAATAGAGTAGGGGGGAAGACAGGAGGGAGGGAGGGAGAGAGGAAAGTAAGGAGGAAGAGAGAGAGAGAGAAAGAGAGAGAGAAAGAGAGAGAGAGAGACAGAGACATTGATGTGAGAGAGACACATCCCAGGGTAGGGATCAAACCTGCGACCCAGGTACATGTCATTGACCAAAAATGAAACCTGAGACCTTTGGTGTGCAGACCAATGCTCTAACCACTTAGCAACACAGATCAGGGCCATTTGCTTTTGGTATTATTAGCCATTACTAAGGAATAATTATTATTGCTATGCCTATTATCCTCATATGAATCTTTTGTTTCTGAGCTGTTTCTAGCTGAGCAAGTTGATGTTGACCTACCTAGAGTGATTCAATTCTTTGATGAATTAATATCTGCCAATATTTTATTAAATATTTGACCAAAGGAAAAGCTGAGCTGTGGCTTGGTTTCCAAGATATCTTATATAATAAAACCCTAATATGCAAATCAACCAAACAGCAGAACAACCAGCGGAATAACAGGTCGCTATGATGTGCACTGACCACCAGGGGGCTGGCACTCAACACAGGAGCTGCCCCCAGCCGATAGGCCCCAAGCCAGCCAAGGTGAGTGTCAGCAAGGGACTCCAAATTGTCCTACTGGTCACCTGTAGAGGGAGGCAACAGGCGGTGGAGGCAGGGGGCAGGGCCGGTGAGCCGGCAGTGCCAGGCTGGCCAAGGAGGGTGCCAACAGGGACCCTGATTGCCCTGCTGGTCGCCTCACAGATTGGCCCTGATCACTGCCCAGGCCTAGGGACCCTACCTGTGCACAAATTTCTTGCATCGGGCCTCTAGTATATAAATAGCCAGGATGAAACTTGCTCAGTTAATTTTTATGTTTTTTGACAAAGATCTCTGCTCAATTCATTGTACAAATTATCCTAAAACATTGTGGCTTGTGCACTTACTGCCCATCAGTTTGGCAAGCCTGTCACGTTGAAATACAACACGGAGATGCCCTTGCTGTAATTGCTATCCTCTCTGAAGTGGCCACAGATTATTATGAGTCACCCTGCAACAGTTCCCTGACATCAATGACGACAGCAAGTGGTTTTTCTCAGCCACTGACCATTGTTATATCCAAGGGCAAAGTGAGCCGTCTTTTTCTTTGTAGTACAGGAAATAATGGGGGGGAAAACAAAACCATAATTAGGGCTCATGATCTTCTCATTATAGGAAATTTAAGCAAAAGTGTTCACCATTTAACCACAGTTTTCTGGATAAGAACAATTCCAGCAGCAAGTGCTCAGCACCTGTTACATGTCTAATAGAGCCTTTTTTCTGTATAAACATCTTATTCTCCCAACTTTATTTTATCACCAGAGGCCTGGTGTACAAAATTTGTGCACTTGGTGGTAGGGGGGGACGGTCTCTTAGCCCAGCCTGCAACTTCTCATAATCCGGGACTCCTGGGGGATGTCCACCTGCCCGGGGGCAATCAGGCAGTCAGACATCCCTCTGGCAGTCTGGAGCTCTTATAGTCCAGGACCCCTTGCTCCTTACTGTCCCCCTATAACAGAGGCAGGAGAGGCTCCTGTCACCATTGCAGTGCTCGCCGCCATGGCTCCCACCACCACCACTGCACTCACCAGCTGTGAGCCCTAATGGTCAGTACACATCATAGTGACCAGTCATTCTAGTCACTCCATCATTCAATTTGCATATTAGGGTCTTATTATACAAGAGGCCTGCTTCTGGTTCAATTTCTTATCTATCCTTGATGCCCAAACCATTGCCTTACCTCTCAGAGACATCCCTCCTCGCCGATCCTTTCTTTCTATAAAATGTGTTGGTTTAGACCTTTAAAAATCATAACATATAATAAAATCCTAACATGGTAAGTGTCTGGTAGTACAGTCATCTGTTCAACCAATCAAAGCATAATATGCTAATGATATGCTAAGGCCACTCAACTGCTCACTATGACATGCACTGAACACCAGGGAACAGTCAAAAGGTTGATCAATCGCTATGATGTGCACTAACCACCAGGGGACAGACACTCTGACCAGTGGATTAGCTTGCTGCTGGGGTCTGGCCGATCAGGATTGAGGGAGATGAGCCAGACATGCCCTCAAGTCCTCCAGCAGTCCCTCCCCAGTTGGCCAACCTCCTGCATCCCTCCCT